CCGAGAACTCCTCAGTGCAGCAGTGCTCACTGCTCAGTCCTCTCACAATACTTGCTCCTTCAGAGAAAAGGCAACAGGAGTTATGTTTTCTTTTAAGTAGCTACACATCACTGTCAAGTGTCAACTGCGGACTGCGGTAGCTGTTATCCAAAAGTCACAATTTGTTTTACCAACTTGGGAGTTGGGCTCAAATCTTAAACCGCAAAATGCTGTGAATGTTCTGCTGCGATGACAGGCCTACTTTAAGAAGGTTAAGAAGGCCAGGTTGCCCCCACCCCAGGCTCAGGCTGGACCTTCAGTAACTTGTGCAGTTGTGCTGTTGCCAACATTAACTAGCCATAAACTGACCTTGCAGACATAGAATAGAATAGAAGTGTTGGCGACTCATAGTGGCAAACCAGAGCTTTTTTAGAATCAGTTCATTTTTAATTACTTTTTTAATCAAACAAAAATTTATGACATTCGAGCCGCGAGATTTCATACCTACTGAAATTATATGATATTAGAGCCGCGATATTTCAGACAAAAATAGGACTTTTCCAGACTAGGCTCAGGCTGGACCTTCATTAACTTGTGCAGTTGTGCTGTTGCCAACATTAACTAACCATAATAAACTGACCTTGCAGACATAGAATAGAATAGAAGTGTTGGCGTCATAGTGGCAAACCAGAGCTTTTTTAGAATCAGTTCATTTTTAATTATCACATTTACCTACTCGAGATTTAAACCTTATTTATTAAGTATTATAATGCTGGTATGAATAAAAGCCCATTATTGGATATAACTCTCGAAATATTTATTTAATAACTCATGTGAATTTGAGATGAGCTTACGAGATGACTATCCATGATACTTCACTTAGTTCACTAGTCTACTTATAGGTGTCAGAAGTGAACTTGAGGGAGAGTCTAAAAAACTCTCTGCCTTGTCACTATGGTTGGCGTTGAAGAAATAGGCCCATGGCGGGCCCATCAGAGGAGGCTATTTCTTGTGATAAGGCTGGTTGTTTCTGCTGAATCCTGCCTAAGTAATTTTGAAGGTTTTACCTGTTTCAATGGTACTAGTTCGTTCCCAATTGACTCAGACATATCTAAAAGGAAGCACCTGCTGACTCCTGGCCTCCTGCTCAAAGAACTGCTGGCACTCAAGTTGGAAAAAGTCCTATGTTTCACAAATATCATGGCTTTAAAGCCTCTAATATCAGATATTTTCAGTAGGTAGCCTAGTAGGTATGAACATAGTGACAATGACAAACCAGAAATTTTTTAGTATCAGTTCATTTTTAATTTCCCATCTATGTTCTACTTAACATTTAAACCCATTTCTTATATATGATAATGAAGGTATCCTTGATAGGTACTTCACAGGTCTACACTGTCTACTTATAGGACTCAGAAGAGAAATGAACTAGAGGAAGAGTCTCTGCTTTGACACCATGGGTATAAAATCTTGCGGTGCTAATGCAAGGTATTTTTGTTTGATTGAAGAAATTTCAGTTCACAAATCTGTCATTTCACACAATTTTCAACTTCTGCAGTTCAGTACCAGTGTACCTGTCTGCTGTACCACATTCCTGCCAAAATATCCTGCATAATGAGTGAATGCATAACATTTCATTGGAGATCTCATAGTTGCTGTGATGTTAGACTACATTACAACTGCATTCATTCTTCAACAGAAGTGCAAACAACATTATCATGTGTTCAGCCACAGTGGAAGAGGACAAAAGTTTTTGTTGCCCCTACTCAAGTTCATTTAAGAGTCCTATAAGTAGACTACCGTAAAATGGGGTTACTTTGACTGGCATGGTAACTTGACCACTTTTCATTTTTTTAACAAAAACCCCCAAAACTCAAAATTGATTTGACATAGAAAAATTTTGTCAATGGCCATCAAATGCCTAATACTGAGGCTATGTAACACAATAGAAAGATTTAAAAGGTTTGCATATCTAATAGGTTGAAAAATTAATAATGTGACCCACGAAAAAGAGCTATTATTTAAAGTCTGTCAGAGTACCCCCTCCAATTTTTTTATTTTTTGGTAAAATAACTCCAGGTTTTGATGCATTGTAGTAGAACTCTTCTAGTTACATATGTTTTTTATGAAATTACATCAAAACTATGAGAGGCATGCGCCAGCAATTTATGGTGAGTAAAGCTAGACTATAGACCTGTATTTTGCATGTTTCAATTTAAGTTTAACTTGTCTAGTAAAAAAATTGCATTGTTTTGAAATAAAAAAGTGGTCAAAGTTACCCCATTTTATGGTACTAAGTAGTATCTTGGATATCAGCATTATCATAAATAATAAATTGATTAAAATATTGAGGACATAAGAAAATTACAAATGAAAATCTCTGGTTTCCACTATACCTGTTCAGTTGCCTCTAAGGTGAAGACAAATGTTCTTGTTGCTGTTTCTAGGGTAAAATTAGAGATTTGTGATGACGTCGGCGCAGAACTGTGTAACTAAGTTAGCGGCTCATAAATGGCTTTTCATGGCCCGTATATGGTATTCATGACTCAAAGAAATAGAATCATGGCTTGCAAATCCACAAAATCATGGCTCAAAAAATCCTGGTGGGGTTCAGAGAGAGTAGATGCTTTTGTCATTAGCTGGCACTAAAGCTAGTGTTAAACTGAGAGGCTTGGCTTAGCCCATCCAGGAGACAGAGCTTGCTGCTTCTAACTCTTTTGGAAAAAAATCTGTACCTATGCTATTGACAAGGTGCCAGAAGCAAAAAAAGCATCCTGAATTACCCTGTGGTTGGTGAGTAGGTACCCTGTTTGACAGTACTCACCAACCACAGGCAGCAGTGTGAGTATATGGTAACCACTGATGGGAGATTTGCAATTCTAATCAATACTAATACGTACATGAAATAATGGTCAGCAATGAGGTAAAGAGAATGAGTGGGAGAGACAATAATAAAATTTTGAAAATAATAACTGACAATAATAAAATTAGGTAGGTAGTAATTTCAATATGAATATCACAATTCAAATTAAATTACAGTAACTAGGAACTGGGGAGTATTACCGTCAAACAGGGTAATGAGGGACGATTTTGAGCATTTTTTGTTAATAACTTCTCACCATGAAACATTTCAGAAATGAGTTTGGGCTAATTTTAAAGCTCTTTGCAAGATCAAATGGCATCTCCAAAAAAATTCCATATGCTATATATGAGCGCCGACGCAAAATAAAAGCGCCCTGAATTACCTCTGGCAGCAGGGTAATCCAGTACACTTGCAATAAAACCTAATTTTAAAACGTTTGCAGCATGCAGAGTGTACCCATCCATCACTAACAGTACTCTGAAGTTCTCCTCTTTCATTGTAGATGATGTAGATGTAGAATAAATGACTTTCTGTGATTTATACTTATTTTTCCTTTATTGATATGATATTACCTGGTACCATATTCATCAATTACCGTATTATTGATGTGATATTACCGTATCCATGAACATGCCATTGAGCATTTACAACAACCTTGTCCACTGCAAGCTTCATATCAGCAGCCATAAAGCATTTCTTCTGTATCTGTAAGCTTACAGGACTGCTTGTAATTTCACACCATTTTAATTGGGTTAAGTGAATTCACTATGAAAAAGATCATAAAAAACATACCTGAAGCAGAAAGGAATGTTTTAAATAGTGACAACCATCCTATGTTTTGGAGAAATAAATCATAGTTTAGGTCAATTACTTTTCATTCTATGATGCCCAGTGCACAATTCTTCCTATATATGACATTCTATGCAAAATTTTGTAATGACCAATGATGCACTCATTTTTAGATAAGTGAATTTTTTTTTGCTGAGCGAGGTAAAATGTAATCAAAATTCTTTGTTTTTAATCAATTTTTTTTATTAACTGGAGCTTCTGCTAACTGAGGTTCTCCTGTAAATGCATTTTTAAGGGTGTCCCTTATTACCCTGGGGGGGGTGTCCCTTATTACCCTGTTGCATGGAAATGGAATGAGAATGAGAATTTTTTCTGGAATGAGATAGGCAAATTCTGCCAATTGCGTTTTCAAGCCGACACCTGTGTGCAACTTTTTGTAAGCAAAATTTTTTTAGTTTTTATTGCTCCAGACCTTAGTAGAGGTACTCTTCCAAAATCTCACTTTCACACTTTTTTTCAGCGATTTTTTAGAGACAGTAAATGTATGATTTCCTAACTAGCTTTATACATAATAGATAGTAAAAATGTTGAAGTTTACGCCACTATTTTCTGGCTTGCATTAGGTACTCTGATTAGTTTAGCTGCTATGGTACTACATTTTTACAAAATGTGGGACGGGTGTCCCAATTTACCCCGCTGGTCCCTTATTACCCCGCCCGTCCCTTATTACCCCGCCTGTCCCTTATTACTCTGCCCGTCCTTTATTACCCCGTTTGATGGTACTTCCCAAAGTGGGCCAGGGTAACTATGCAGCAAGAGTGACAGCCCATAACAAAGAGCTAAATAAAAAATCTATATGAAAATTTAAACATAGATTTGCAAAAATAGAAAAATCTTGAACAAAAAAAAAGTTAGTACATGTACAATATTTTAATAGTCTCATGAAAACCAAAATTATTTCATCACAGTCAAATATTTAAGTATAAATATCTTTTGAAAGAGGAGTTTTTTTCTGTGACGAAATGCTTTGACTTAGTTAACCAATGAATAAATTGTCAACAGATGCTGCTTCAAAATTCAATTCTTTAATTGACAAATGGTTTTCAAACTTTAGAGTTTGACAGGCTAATATCATGTTTCCCAGTTCCAATGAATACACAATATGGATCAAAATGGAAAAGCTTAATCTCGCAAAGAAGCTTGTTCTACCCATTGTCTTTGGAGACAAACCGTCATCAATATTTGAGTACATATGCGTTGTGACTTAAGCTACTGCCTGCAGACAATAAGTTAGAGACACAAAAGTTCTTTATTGTTGCATTTTGGATCCACTATTCATATTATTGCAGTTAACTCAATTTCCTTTTTACAGCTCTTCATTGCAGACTGCACAGTGCATCATTACTCAATCCCTTTAGCTCAATTATGTTGTGTGGGATTGCCATTTGCTAGTAGGTATTGCATAGTAAGACTTATTGTTTGCAGAGTTTGTTGCAATGGCAGTGAGATATCTGTGTGTGGTGGCCACGGTGTGCCTCTTGGCAGTGGAGGCGCACAATATTGATAAAGCCATGCACCGGGGGGAGCGGGAGGTGGATGGAGCATTCACTCCACGAGGTGCCAACCACCGCCATGCAGAACAGGACTTTGACTTTGATCATGAGAGTATACTAGGTGAGTTACTGTGTGTTTTGTGATGTCAAGGGGTAGGTTACTGCACAAGTTTTTACAATGGGGGAGTTACTACTGTGAATTAATTCAAAATTTGTGATTTACTGTGAATTAAAATATAATGGGTGAGTTACTATGAATAAATTTATAATGAGTGAGTTATAGTGAATATTGGAGTAGCTTCTGTGTAAGTATAAATTTGATAAGTTACTGAGTATGCTCAGCAAGTTACAATGTGTAAACTGTGTGGGTTGATTTGTGTAAATATACTGTGTGGCCTTCATTGTGTATTCAAACTGTGTCGGCTGTGTTATTTATACTGTAGGGGCTATGTTGTGTGCACTGTGTGGTGTGTTGGTATAATATATATATATATATATCCTACCTCCTGCAGGGAGCAGCAAGGAGGCGGCTGAGTTTGACCAGCTCCCGGCTGAGGAGGCGCGAAGGCGGCTGGCGCTGCTGCTCCCCAAGATGGACACCAACAATGACGGTCTCATTCTCCCCACGGAGCTCACAGCATGGATCCTACGCTCTTTTGGGTGAGGAGTGGTCCTGGTGGGCATAGGAGAAGAAGGGTGTTCTGGGGCCAAGTGTTTGGGTCTTGGATAGAGACCCAAGAGATGTTAGAACAGGAAATAGAGGTTTGGATTCTAGTGGGGATGTGTGTTTTGGGACATTCAACAGAGGAGTAGCTTATGGTAGTAACCCCCGTGATGACGCGGTTTGATTATACTCTCTGTGACCCTCGAAATAATAATGGTGGGTGCTGCTGGGGGCGGTGTATTCCTTTGACACTGATTCCTGGTCAAGGATCGATTTCTGGTGAAATAAATGGTGAGTCCAGGCGGAGAGCGGAGTGAGATCTGGAGGGGGGTGATTGTGAGTTCTGGTAACTTCTCCTTCCACAGGAATGCGACATTGACGGGAACAAGTTTGTAAACTTTTTCTAACAATTTTTTGTGTTTTACACTTATTACTGAATACTTATATATCATCACGTTTTGCCCACAGTTTGCTGGCGCGGGAAGAATCAGCTGAGCGCTTCGCTGATGCCGACGCTGACGAGGACCTCAGTGTCAGCTGGGCAGAGGTTCTGAGCGACAGCTATGGCATAAGCCCAGCAGAGGGCCGTTCTGACTTCCTGTCTGCTGACAATGAGCACGGTGCTGACACTGCTAGGGTGCGTAATGGTGACACTGCCAGGGTTTGTGACAGTGACACTGCCAGGGTGCTGACACTTCTAGGATGCACGCTAACACTTCAGGGTAAAGACACTGCCCGGGCGCCGACGCAAGGGACAACAGCAGCAGCCTCTGAGACTACGACGGCCATAACACTTACTTAGGATACAGAAGATTTTATTTCCCCTCGTGAGATGTTATCCATTTTCTCTCTTTCCTCCGCGAAGGGCTAATTTTCTGCTGAGAGTTAATTTCTTCAGTTCGGTTTATCCTCCTTCTCTTCCCTCTCTTAACTGAATCTGCTTACCGCCCTCCTAGGTGCTAAGCTGTTTACTACTTCTGTGCGAGTTAACCTATAAACCTGTTTCCCACTTAGATGGTGCGAGAGGACCGTGAGCTTTTTGACGCGGCAGATGCAAACCAAGATGGCAGCCTGGACCAAGAGGAGTTCCTGGCATTCAGGTAAGGGGTCACAGTTTAGCTTCAGGGGGGATAGTTCGGAAAAATATTAATTTGAGAGTGGAACGGTTAGCTATATTCGAGTTATGCAGGAGTGAGGGTTTGCGGATATACTACGCACTAAACTATTGTGGAAAATATAAGGTAGACGTATTTAATTGTTAAAGTGTTGTGTCATGCTTCATTAGATTCATCCTGATCCTGTTTTACAGTCATCCTGAGGACAACCCCACTATGGTACCGATTCTTGTTCGCCAAGCGATGTCCGAGAAAGACAAGAACAAAGATGGCCGTCTGTCATTCGCCGAGTATGTCACTAGTCTTGGTGAGTGCTTTTCCCTTTACCAATGGTATCGTACCACTAAAAAGAGAACAAAAAATTGTCGATCAAAGGTCACATTAGGTAGGTAAAAAATTAATTTTGATGATATTCGTCGTAGTTTATTTTAGTTTAGGAGATAGACAGGTAAGACTTGCCGAGTGCACGTATCTTCAGCTAACCGACAAATATTTTACCTTGTGGTTACTCTATCGTTAGGAAATGACTTTTTTGTTAGAAACGATCTCAGTATTTCTGAGCCGTCACCTAATTAAATGGGCATCTCTAGTTCGGTGTTTCCTATTAATTCTGCATTGTTTCCTGTTCCTTCTGTCGCTATTGACATTCATGTTTGATGTATAACTATCGTCTGAACGTCGGCTGTTGGGTCTTCCAGAAAGTCTAACGAGGGTCGTTTGTATCATTTCTCAGTCGGTTCTTGCTTCATTCACGAGCCATGAAAATGTTGTGCCTCTGCGCTATATGTAGCTGAGGGTTTGTGCCTCAGTTACATTAGTCTAAAAGTGGTCGCTGCAAAACTGGTCTCTAGTTTAGTGTGACATGAGAAAGAAAAGGTAGACAATTCCCCGTGTTCTCGTTTGTTGTCGGACGGTGCTCTCCATGACAAGAGCATCTCCAAAATTTGACCTATAGGTAGTTTCCTATTTTTCCAATTGGCTGCAATAACCAAGATAACGCTTGGTCGTGTCGTGACAAAGTACGAGTTGTACTCTCAATCATTAGATGTAGAAGTAGATTTGTCATGGGAAGTACTAATAATTTAATGATTGTGTCGCTATGAGCTATTCTTCATCAGGTTGAGCGATATCGTTAATGAAGAAACATTTCCACTTTAAGCATGAGAGTTTCCGCCTTCTTCTTGAAATTCTCTTCTGCCGCGACTCTTGATGACTCAATGGAGCCTAGTTGATGTGCGTTGGCTCTTATTAAATAATATGTCCAGGCAGGCAGTGATAGTAAGTTTATCTTCGCACGAGTTCTTTGTCTCCTCTGGATGACGACGCTTAATCGGAAGATCCATTTCTGGCGTAATTTTCTGTTGATACCCTCTACCCTGCCCCTTCATTTCTATTCTAACCCTGTCTCTGCCTTGTCAGGCTGCCGCCTTGCGTTTTTTCAGCCACTACCCTGCCTCCTGTTATTTACATGCCTCATCATTCCTGTCATTCTGCCATACCTTCCAATTCCTCTACCTTGCCTACCGCCCTGTCCTTACCAATGTCTCCGCACACCTCTTGGTCTGTCGCGCCTCGGTCCTCTCTTGTCGCACCTCGGTCCTCTCTTGTCGCGCCTCGGTCCTCTCTTGTCGCGCCTCGGTCCTCTCTTGTCGCTTCCTCTTGCCATGCCTCGGTCCTCTCCTTGGCCTCGCTCCTACCCCTGTCACGTTCCTAATGTCCTCTTGCCACGCCTCGGTCCTCTACTTGGCCACGCTCCTCTCCTTGGCCACGTCCCTAATGTTCTCTTGCCGCGCAGGTGATGAGCCTCTTGACGACGCGGCGCTGCTCACGGAGAAGAGTCGCTTCGATGAAGACCTCGACGGTGACGGCGACGGAGAGCTGAACGAGGAGGAGGTGCGCGCCTGGCTCGTCCCTGACAACTTGTGAGTTCATTTCTTCTCTATTGCTCAATTGCCAGTTGAGATTATTGGTGTTCCATTAATAGGCTAAGCGAATGAAGATACAATCAATTTCTTTGAAAGAATTTTCGGTAGTTAGTTGTGCCTCTTGAAGCAAAATTTGATAGCAAATCCGACTGCAATAACGTGCGATGTGATAGTGGTTTCTATTCTAATGTGTGGCAAAATGACCGCTGTGTAAGTTATATGAAAGACCTCTAAGAAAACCTTTATTTCACTCTCAGATAGGTATGAAATTCTTGAAGTTGTCATTGTTGCGGTACAATAAAGCATCTGAATAGTCCAGGGTTGATGGCCCATCAGCTTATTCTTCAGGCAGGTTTTTCCCTTATATTATTGACGCATCCTTCACGTCCTATTGAAGCACCAATTATTCCGCACAGAGAGGTGGCGCGCGCTGAAATGGACCACCTGTTCAGTGGGGCCGACGCCGACATGGACGGCGCGCTATCCTACGACGAGGTCCTGGAACAGCACCAGTTGTTCGTTGGCAGCGAGGTCACGGACTACGGAGACCATCTACACAACCTGCATCGCTTCACTGAGGAGCTCTGATACTCCTGTGCTACCTGCATCACCTACTCCTAGGCCACCTGCAACGCTCCACTGAGGTCCTCTGAACCACGTGCACCACTTCACTGAGGTCCTCTGAACCACCATCGTTTTTAACCAAAGAATGGATGTTCAAGATGTTGATGGGCATTAATGTATTAAGTGCCATTAAGCAAAATCAGTCAAATCGATCAATGAACTTGAATTTGTTTTGAAGAAGGTTCATTGGCAATAAAGGATAAAAATCAGCGCTCTCTCGCTCATAAATTCTCAGTATTCCACTAGCAATGCTTGGGGCTTGACAGCGGAGGCAGCGCATACCACACACCTCGCCAGCTGGCGGGCATTTCACGTCGCTTGTGATGCGTCATGGTTCGATGTGAACAGAAAAGTGTTAAGGTATTTCACAAACTACCGACGTTAATGGGCTCGCATTGCAGCATGTGTGATGAACCAAATAATTAGAATCTCAAGCTGGCGTTTAATCGCCAACTTTATATGTGATTTAAGGCGTGTGTCATTTTTGCCTTTTTCAATGAAATGTGCGTTACAGAGCCACCATGACATCCCTGACGCCCTCTCCCCTCCCTTATGATGTTTTATTTATCTCTGTGGTAAATTATACGCCACAAGAAGTAATGTAGCAGCTTACTAATATTCACTTCAGTGTCAGTAACCGAGGCTTGAATCAAAGTAGTTAATACTAAGTAGTTTATTTATCAGTAACTGATCCTGATGGGCTGCTGTTGCAGCCAGCTAGAAAGTAAGTAAATGTTAATTTATTTGTGATATTTTTAAGTATATGTGAAACTTGATTCAATTGAGCAGTTTTACTTCTACCTTCACAACGGCAACTCATCCTTCTGAGACCCGCGGCTACGGCAACACCTGGACACTCCGGCTACTGCTACAACTGACCTAGACTGAAGTCATTAGTGTAAAACGGCAAGCATTAGTGCATTAGGCAGGCGCTGATCCATTCACGGAAGCAATTTGTCTAGACGGCGGTTGAGCTTCTCGGCTTAACTGCCTCTGGGTACAAGAACGAAGCTGTTTGTTAAAGTTTCTACTGAAAACAGCAATAACTACATGATGTTATCATATGGCCCGCAGTATATACAGACATTAAAGAGAACCAACCATTTATCATTATCAAACGCGATGAGTGCCACGATTGAGCTACGATGTTTAGCCGCATCAATTTTTCAAAAAAAAAAAAATTTTTCAAAAGTTCCATTACATTTGAAGAACGTGTGTTTGACAGTTTTTTATTCTTTTGATATTTGGGCACTGAACAGACAGCTTAACTTCCTGAGCACCATGAAGGGTTCTCGCCCTCACTGCTACAGCTCTGTTACACTCTTCTTAGCGCATGTTGTGGAAACAATCATAACTTGACAAATTAAATTTAACTGGCACTATTTTCCCACAATGATTTCTTGGCAGAGTTTCTGTAACAAATAATGCCTGGATCCTCTCGCTGTTGAAAGTTCGCTACTATTATTCATAACAGAATCTGATACTTTCAAAACATTGTATTGTAAATTTAAATTTCTAAATCTTGCAAAAAATTATTCACATTCCTAATACTTTTTGCATGATTTTCTATATCTTCTTCACAAATCTTCAGACTCTTGTGTGAGTGACCTGCGGTCGGTGCAATCTTGCCGTCTTGTAGCTGGCTGACCGTCGATTTTCTAACACCTGGACACTCCGGCTACTGCAACACCTGGACACTCCGGCTACTGCAACACCGTAACGACTAAGGTTTCCAACAACTGACCTAGACTAAAGTCATTAGTGTAAGACGGATAGGATTAGGCGGGCGCTGATCCATTCACGAAAGCAAATTGCCTAGACGGCGGCTGGGCTTCTCGGCTTAACTGCCTCTGGGCACAAGAGCGAAGCTGTTTGTTAAAGTTTCAACTGAAAACAGCAATAACTACATGATGTTATCATATGGCCCGCAGTATATACGGACATATTAAAAAGAACCAACCATTTATCTTCACCAAACGCGACGGGTGCCACGATTGAGCTACGATGTTTAGCCGCATCAGTTATTAAGTTCCATTACATTTGAAGAACGTGTGTTTGACAGTTTTTTATTCTTTTGACATTGGTGCACTGAACAGACAGCTTAACTTCCTGAGCACCATGAAGGGTTCTCGCCCTCACTGCTACGCCTCTGTTACACTCTTCTTAGCTCATGTTATAGAAACAATCATAACCTGGCAACTGAAATTTAACTGGTACAATTTTCCCACTATGATTTCTTGGCAGCGTTTCTATAACAAATAATGCCTGGATCCTCTCTCTCTCGCTGTTAAAAGTTCGCTTGTTTTAATCAAAACAGAATCTGATACTTTCAAAACATTGTATAATAAACTGAAATTTCTGAATCTTACATAAAATTATTTACATTCCTAATACTTTTTGCATGATTTTCTATATCTTCTTCACAAATCATCAGACTTTTGTATGAGTGACCTGCGGTCGGTGCAATCTTGGCTTCTTGTAGCTGGCTGACCGTCGATTTTCTTTCTTTTTGCGCCTGTTCCTTTCCTGCCATTTCAGGCAGAAACCCGCTGTCTCTAAAAGGATGGAATCATTTTATTAATAATTAATTGATCTCTTCAAATTCCCTTAGTTTTATCACAGCATTTCAGCAGCGGTTTAATATGACAGCGTCTTTTGAGCGCAGCCTTTTGCCTGAAGTTATTTCCACCGAAGCGCTAAGAACCTTGCCACAACTTCATGCAATGAACGCAGCGTCAGCAGCAACTCTCTCTTGTTGTAATGGGCAGGGTGGCCCAGTGGTTGGGCAGGGTGGCCCAGTGGTTACAGTTCAGAGTACCAAGATTGGCGCAGAGAGGCGCGGGTTCGATCCCAGCTCTGTGCGTTGCCCTTTCCTTTGCCCCCGCCTTTGCCTTTGCCAGGCGCAGGGAAAGGTTTAGGATCAGGATCAGCAATGGCGCCAGCCGCCATCATCATCACCGCCAGGGCAATCAGGCTCAGGTTCTAAGGAAAAAATTAATATCATTAGAAACCAAAATTTTGTTTTAGTCCACATTTCTCGGTCACTTTTCGTTGTTGTCAAATATTATTTATTAATTGCATATAAATTTAAATTGATTTAAATTATTATTGATATCATTGAATATATTTATTATCAGATAATTATTGAAAAATGTTCATGATTGATTTAATTTTAAAAACTGTTCATATTATAGTCTGAACATATTATTGTTTGGTGTTATGGTTGTTTGCTAGTTAACACTGGTTAGATCTGCAAATCTATTTCCAGAGTAAGGTTCAAGTAGTTCGCTAAAATTTCAAATTCAAGCCAGGTTAAGAACTCACCAAGAAGGAGGCCATTGCGTAGAGTTGCTTGGAGCGATGTCGATCGTTTAGTGTTCGGTATCGTCGTCGCGTGCGCGTTTTATAACAAAGTACGCCGCGTCAACGCGCTTTGTTGACAAGGGCAAGTGTTGCGCAATCCAACGCTCTGCATGTCGCTGCATCAAGTCTAGTGTTCGAGTAATGAAATCAAATGAATGCGGGTAATTGATTGCCGTGCTTGACTTTGCAGTCACCCAAGGATATTTGTTAGAGTAGTTACACATGGGAACATGATAGTAAGATACTCGAGGCAAGTGCAAAATAGTCCTAGTACGTGGAATATAAAAGACTTTCGACTGGACTGGACACTGTATATTGCCTGGACAATAGCTTCCAGCCAATATATTTTGTTATAAAATTTTAACCTTTATTTGTTAAATATCACCGGGTGGTGCTGTTTTCATAAGGAAGATTTATTATTAATGATCAGCATGTAGGATTAGATCTGTCACTTAAAATGTCAGTAAATAAACAATGCATATATCGAGGAAAGAGAAATAGAATTAATACGATCAGCCGACATTTATCGATGAGCCAGCTGTTATTTTTGATGAAATCTTCGCAGATTTCAGCTTTTCATTATTTCTCATTCACTTGCAATAAACCATTCATGGAATTTGACTACCACCAAAGAGTTTCAAGTTGATTACGCATCTTTTTCGAAAAAATCAAGTGGAAGTTAGTTTGGAATAACGTTCTGATACGGACCATTATTTCAAAGTATTCAGAAGATTGAATTCCTGATATAATGTGCTGAGGGAATAATGTTAATTAATCTTTTACATGTGATGACGTTCTTGGCAACAGCTTTAGAGATAATTTTGCAGTGTTCTTGCCTACCCTGACCATTGACCACTGAGTAGAGACGGCGTCAAAGATATTCGGTGCTGTAGACCAGCGGTCATACCTTCGAAAAAAGTTGAGAGATCGTAAGTTCATCAGCCAATCATTGACGTCCTTTCAAGTAAAATCCACCAATCATTGATAAGAAAATAGAGCGTAAGTACTTATGATCACTTAGCGACTTTTGAAGTACAGCCCACAGGTTCTTATCTCCTGCCGGTAGGAGCGAAGTTTATGTGGGAGAATGCATGGTAGGTACGATAAATCGTTTTACGATTTGTTATTTATTTGTTCGAGCTTATTTATAATTTTAAGAATATTATATTACACTATTGTACATTTTTATCAATTTATTGGATGTTTTTGAAGAATATTTGAAGAAAAAAATTCTCCGAAAGCAAAAACAACCTAAGATTGAAACTAGTAGGTTCTTAGGCCATGACCAGTCAGTTAGAGACATTTAAATGTAGTTCTTCAAAAATAATTATCATCAAATAAATATCAACTTCTACACGGCGATCTCAAACCGAAATAATTCTAAAAACTGCCTCATTTAAGGAATATAAACTCGTGTTCCTAATGGAGCTCCATGGCCTATTCATCTGAGGAAGAACATTCGTTCAGACGGTAGCATTCACAGTCGCGTTTACCTGCACTTCGGATTTCATCGCTGAGAGACAAATCAGTAGCCGAGGTGATAATTGTTTGAAAACATTAATTTTCAATTTCTTGATGATTCAGGGCCTATACTTTCCAAAAAAGTTAAGAGATCGTAAGTTCATCAGCCAATCATTGACGGCCTTTCAAGCAAAATCCACCAATCTGCAGCAACCCTCACTTGTATCCGAAGCAGTGCTCCCGGGAACGCTGAACGTGGTTACATTTTCTGCGATACTTCTGTTTATTAATCGCTAGCAATAATAAATTTTTACTGACCTTTGTCAGCACTTGGCATGTTTAGTAACAGGTATTGATTTAGCAATGTCTTTTAATGAGATGGATGGACCTGCTTCTTTGCTATCAGTACATCAAAACTCGTTTTTGGGCGAATCGAAACACATACTCTGCCTGCTTCAGTACACACCCGTTTCGAGCATTAGATTTTATAAGTATAGGGTCATGAAATCAATATGACAGAAGAATGTTGAAAAGAAAAGAATGAAAACCTTATAGGAGAAATCCCTGTTGTGTACAGGAGGAGTAGAAATAGTCGTGAGTCTGGTGATGCGACTGTTGTTTTCCTGGTTCTCCAATTTGACTGCAACGTTGTTGACAGGCTTCAAAAATTTCTACTGCTTGTTAACAGGATAAGTGTGACCAGCCAGTGAGGCATTGCAGCTTCACTGGCTGTTTTAGCTGAAAATCCTAATTGTAGGAAGTATTCTGAAAATATGGTAGTATCTGAACTCTTCTTGGAGGATTGGCAAGTGTTTCATGATCTCTTGCCTTTAAACAACCAACGAACAGAATCGTTGAAAAGGTCTTGGTGGGCAGAATCCAAGAGCTCATTTCCAAGAATTCGTGGGCCGGGGCAACATACGAAATTGCCTGGTGTTCTGTTTTTTTTTTCCGGAGAAATGTTGTTATTTGCCTTTGAAAGCAGCAGGGAGCGTCTCGATGCTAGGACCCTCAAATTGAATCGTACAGTGTTTTGTAATGACATGGCGAACTCTTCCTCTTTACCATTCGCAAATCTTGACTTAAATTTGTGTCGAGCATGCTGGGCAATCCGACAATGCACCAACCAAACCGGCCCTATGTCCATGGTAGCGTTTTTTATTAGAAGAAGTTGGGCATGGTTGATGATATTTTCAGCCTCCTTATTTTTTATTATTAGGTGAACTATTAAGTTTAAACTTTTACTGATTTTTTCGCCTGATCTTCCGGTGTGGAACGAGCAAAATCCAAAAATCTGAGTAATCCTTATCTCATCGAATGGGTTAGAGAAAGAAAATATTATTTTCTTCGTCACCTACTGTTTCATGTCCTGTGACAAGTCATCGATAAGTTGCCAAATTATTTTGTGTGAACGTTGATTTATACTCTGGACGTGGTTCAGCCTGAGTATAAGATGAGCAACTTGCATCAAGAAAGGTTTGACGTGAATATATCCAAAATACGTGTAGCAATTTTTGTTTTGCGATAAGAAGGAAAATCTTGTATGATGCCGTGGATTGATGTTATTTTTGAATGAAAATAGCTTTATATTTCTATTTTAGCAGCTGTAGCATTTCATTGCTAACTACAGCTGAGATGTCCTAGTAGACGAAAACTGACGTTGTATGCGCGCTTCTTTGACACCTGGCAAGCTAGGAGCAGCTTGCTGGCGAGTGAATGTTTAGATTCATGCTGGCTAGATAACTGTAATACACACAGCTGGACATTCCAAAACCCAACAAACGACACAAAACCTTTTTGGGGGTAATGACCCACAGTTTGAACTACACTGGCTAATGGAAATGCCAATTGAACAGGTGCTTTCTTAGGGTACGGAAACGAAAAATTAATTTCGCACTAAGTTTAATTTTTCGTCGATCAAAAAGAATAGAATTTGCTAATCTAATCACCGTCCAAGTTTTTCAAGCCAGTTCGCGATCCTTTCTTCAGTGTCCTTTGCCCTTTCCTTTGCCCCCGCCTTTGCCTTTGCCAGGCGCAGGGAAAGGTTTAGGATCAGGATCAGCAATGGCGCCAGCCGCCATCATCACCACCACCAGGGCAATCAGGCTCAGGTTCTAAGGAAAATAAACAGATATTTATTGAAAATGTTCAAGATTTATTTTTTTCAAAAATCTGTTCATATTAAAGTCTGCAAAAATTATTGTTTGGTGTTATGATTGTTTACTAGTCAATACTGGTTAGATCTGCAAATTGATTTTCTGAGTAAGGTTCAAGTAGTTCGCTAAAATTTCATATTCAAGCCCGGTTAAGAACTCACAAAGAAGGAGGCCATTGCGTAGAGTTGCTTGGAGCGATGTCGTTCGTTTAGTGTTCGGTATCGTCGTCGCGTGCGCGTTTTATAACAAGCTACGCCGCGTCAACGCGCTTTGTTGACAAGGGCAAGTGTTGCGCAATCCAACGCTCTGCATGTCGCTGCATCGAGTCTAGTGTTCGAGTAATGAAATCAAATAAATGCGGGTAATTGATTGCCGTGCTGGACTTTGCAGTCACCCAAGGATATTTGTTAGAGTAGTTACACATGGGAACATGATAGTAAGATACTCGAGGCAAGTGCAAAATAGTCCTAGTACATGGAATATAAAATACTGGACTAGACTCCGAGATAATAGATTCCAGCCTATAAATTTCGTTATGGAATTTTACCATTTATTTGTGAAATATCATCGGGCGGTGCTGTGTTCATAAGGAAGATTTATAATTAATGATCAGCATGTAGGATTAAATCTGTCATTTATATTGTCAGTAAATAAACAATGCATATATCGAGGAACGAATAATGGAATTAATACGATCAGCCGACATTTATCGATGAGCCAGCTGTTATTTTTGACAAATCTTCGCAGATTTCAGCTTTTCATTATTTTTCATTCACTTGCAATAAACCATTCATGGAATTTGACCACCACCAAAGAGTTTCAAGTTGATTACACATCTTTTCGAAAAAAATCAAGTGGAGGATTGTTTGAAATAACGTTGCGATACGGACCATTATTTCAAAATATTCAGAACATTGAATTCCTGATATAATGTGCTGAAGGAATAATGTTCATTAATCTTTTACATGCGATGCTACGTTCTTGGCAACAGCTTTACAGATAATTTTGCTGGGGATGCCCTATACTCGCTACAAGAAGGTGTTCTGTATCAATATTCCAACAATATTGTGTATAGCCCACAATATGCAGACTTCATTCACGGAATGGACGGAATGGGAGAGGCAGGAAATAGCAGAACTGTACACTGTACAACCTACTGTATATAGTGTGCGATATTTTTCAGCAATCTTTCGCCAAATGAATTTTGTTGATGCCATCTATCTTTCTAGAGCCGCAATATTTTTGTAAAGCTTTCCATCTTTCTTCACACGAAAATTTGAAGACATAAAAACGCCCAAAGAATCAAATGAGAAACGTGCTTCTTCATTTGTTTCGGCGCGAGATAGCTTAGCAGCTGAATCGCTAGTAATCATAGGGTCACTAAACTAACTCTTCATTTGTTTTGCAATCTAACCATAACCCAATAAACGGCAATTCGTGGAACGATGGATACAAAAACCAATTACCAATCTGTTCTCATATGTGTAAAAAAATTATATGAAATTCTTTAGGAAAAAATTTAATATTACGGTGTTATTGTAGTCTTGGCAAAGCGTCGCGTTTTTCTGCAGCAAAAGTAGGGAGCAACTTTGCTACCGAGCTCTGTTTGCGATCTTGAGTGACAGGTCAAGTGAGTGACTGGTCGACAATTGAGTGACTGGTCGACAATTGAGTTCTGCAATCTTGCGGGCACGGAATCACTGCAAGCGGTCGCTGCTTGCAAAATTTTACGAGCTTGCTGCACAAAGCAAAAAAATACTGAATACATCGTATTTAAGTAGCGTCTTTGAACCTCAGAAAACAGTGATCGAACAACAGCGCTTCGAACAAGATCAACATGGCATCCTTCTTGGTACGGGTTTTGATATCTTTAAATAAATTAGAGACAATTTAATGAAACTTTAACATTTAGGGATATGTGCTAGTGATAAAAACTAAGAACGATGTTTAATTATATTCTAAATGATCATTTCATCAAAATTTACACAAGTAATGTGCAAATCCAAATCATAATTGATGTAATAATGATACTGATTCTTTGTGATATATCAAGTTAATGTTACTACTCTATACGCGCATTGTTATTTGACTTTGGAAAATGACATGAGCAGAAACTTTTGCATCATCGAGCACTTTGACTAAAACAAAACAAGATCCTTAACAACTTCTGTATGAACAATCATTCATCATTACTTCAGATAAACATTCATAACGTTCTTTGCATTTTATTACAGAAACTGAGCGTGCTTGCCATGGTGGTGATGATGCTGGTGACCGGCACCATCGCTGGACCCGAACCCGAGCCTTTCCCTGTGCCAGGTGATCACAAGCACTGGAAGGGAAAGGGTAAAGGAAAGGGAAAAGGAGGAAAGGGGAAAGGTAAAGGAAAAGGCAAGGGGAAGGGCCATAAGAAGTGGTGAAAACTGCACGCATCGGATCAACTCACTCCTAGTGTTTTGTAACTGACAATAAAGATGAATCAGTTAACATAATAAATGAGTCATCCCCAACTGAAATTTACGCGTCATGAGAACGAAGTATTTAAGTATTCCACTTAAAATATTTGCGTGATTTATAATAAATAGAAAAATCGAGCACGCGGTCCTTTGGATGCAATACGCGCACTTGAAATTGAGAAGAATTGGTCCTAACGCTCGTACATCATGCTGGTCATATCACACCTCACGAAAATTTACTCAACAGAGAAGCAAGTTGGAAATTTTTGATACTCCATTTGTAATGAAGTAATAGCAAATTAGTCTTTATTGTTGATTAGGCCAAATCTGGCTTGTTACTGAATCTAGAAATCGTAAAATGTACGGAGCATACTGAGTATATAGCATGCATTAATTCAATAAGATAACAAGAAGAGAATTGCACTCTGGTCACTGTGAGCAATACAGCAGCCAAGCACCATTAGAGTCACCTCCGTATCACATAAGCATGCAGTCAAAGAACAATTAAGAACCTTTCATTCATCAAAATTTCTCTCGAAATCGATACTTAATCTTACTTAATCTCTAAGGTCTCCGTTAAATTAAAACGGAACATAATTTTAATTAAATGGAACATGAAACAGTAAAATTTCTAATAGCCTCTGGGCATAAAAGTGAAGCTGTCTGTTAAAGTTTCAACTGAAAACAGCAATAACTACTTAATATGGCTCGGAGGATATACAGACATATTAAAAAGAACCAACCATTTATCTTTACCAAACACGACGGGTGCCACGATTGAGCTACTATGTTTAGCCGCATCAATTTTTAAGTTCCATTACATTTGAAGAACGCGTGTTCGATAGTTTTTTATATTCGTTTGATATTGATGCACTGAACAGACAGCTTAACTTCCTGAGCACCATGAAGGGTTCTCGCCCTCACTGCTACAGCTCTGTTACACTCTTCTTAGCCCATGGTGTGGAAACAATCATAACCTGACAACTGAAATTTAGCTTGTCAATAATTTCCCACTATGATTTCTTGGCAGCGTTTCTGTAACACAAATAATGCCTGGATCCTCTCTCTCGCCCTTAAAAGTTCGCTTCTTTTATTCAAAACAGAATCTGCTACTTATAAAACATTGTATAGTAAACTGATATATAACTGAGTAAATATATAACTGAGTAAATAGAACTGAGTAAATATAAAATCATGCTTGATTTTATATTTCTTCTTCACAAATCATCAGACTCGTGTATGAGTGACCTGCGGTCGGTGCCATCTTGGCTTCTTGTAGCTGGCTGACCGTCGATTTTCTTTCCTTTTGCACCTGTTCATTTCCCGCCATTTCAGGCAGAAATATGCTGTCTCTAAAAGGGTGGATACCTTTTATTAATAATTAATTGATCTCTTTGAATTCCCGTAGTTTATCACAGCATTTTGGCCGCGGTCTGTAGATGACCGCGTCTTTTGAGCGCAGCCTTTTGCCTAAAGTTATTTCCACCGAAGCGCTAAGAGCCTTGCCACAACTTCATGCAATGAACGCAGCGTCGGCAGCAACTCTCTCTTGTATCCGAAGCAGTGCTCCCGGGAACGCTGAACGTGGTTACATTTTCTGCGGTCTCCATCCTGCTGTACTTCTGTTTATTAAGCGCTAGCAATAATAAATTATTACTGACCTTTGTCAGCACTTGACAGGTTTAGTAACAGGTATTGATTTAGCAATGACTTTTAATGAGATGGATGGCCCCGCTTCTTTGCTAACAGTACATCAAAACTCGTTTTTGGGCGAATCAAAACACATACTCTGTCTGCTTCAGTACAAACCCGTTTCGAGCATTAGATTTTATAAGTATAGGGTCATGAAATTAATATGACAGAAGAATGTTGAAAAGAAAAGAATGAAAACCTTCTAGGAGAAATCCCTGTTGTGTACAGGAGTAGTAGAAATAGTCGTGCGTCTGGTGATGCTGTACTGTCGTTTTCCTGGATCTCCGATTTGACTGCAACGTTGTTGACAAGCTTCAAAAAATTTCTACTGCGTGTTAACAGGATAAGTGTGACCAGCCATGTGAGGCATTGCAACCTCACTGGCTGTTTCAGCTGAAAATCCTAATTGTAGAAAGAATCCTGAAAATGACATCTGAGCTCTTCTTGGACGATTGGCAAGTGTTACATGATCTCTTGATGCAGCTTAACACCTGTATGGTGTTCGTCTCGGACGACTGGCGACATTTTTCTTTCAAACTTTGCCAAATCAAAAAGTTAACTTGTTTATGGAAGCTTTGGGGGCATCGTTGTGCTTCATAATAATGACTTGCGATTCCAAAAGGTAACACATCTCCTAATTTGCTGAAACTGCACTTTATCTTCTTCCCTATATATGTCCCTCAATAACTGCTCCATATAATTTAATTGAGCAGTCATAAATATGAGCAATTCTTTACCGAGTTCACTTACACAAGCANGAACGCTGAACGTGGTTACATTTTCTGCGGTCTCCATCCTGCGGTACTTCTGTTTATTAAGCGCTAGCAATAATAAATTATTACTGACCTTTGTCAGCACTTGACATGTTTAGTAACAGGTATTGATTTAGCAATGTCTTTTAATGAGATGGATGGCCCTGCTTCTTTGCTATCAGTACGTCAAAACTCGTTTTTGGGCGAATCGAAACACATACTCTGTCTGCTTTAGTACAAACCCGTTTCGAGCATTAGATTTTATAATTATAGGGTCTTGAAATCAATATGACAGAAGAATGTTGAAATGAAAAGAATGAGAACCTTCTAGGAGAAATCCCTGTTGTGTACAGGAGGAGAAGAAATAGTCGTGAGTCTGGTGATGCTGGCTGTTGTTTTCCTGGATCTCCGATTTGACTGCAACGTTGTTGACATGCTTCAAAAATTTCCATTGCGTGTTAACAGGATAAGAGTGACCGGCCAGTGAGACTCCGTAGCCTCGCTGGCTGTTTCAGCTGAAAATCCTAAATGTAGAAAGAATCCTGAAAATGACATCTGAACTCTTCTTGGAGGATAAGCAAGTGTTTCATGAACTCTGATGCAGCTTAACACCTGTATGGTGTTCGTTTCGAACGCCTGGCGACATTTTTCTTTTAAACTTTGCCTACTCAAAAAGTTAGCGTTTTCATGGAAGCTTTGGGGACATCGTTGTGCTTCATAATAATGACTTACGAGCCCAAAAGGTTACACATCTCCTAATTTGCTTAAACTGCACTTTATCTTCTTCCTTTTGTCCTTCAAGAACTGCTCAATGTAATTTAATTGAGCAGTCATAAATATGAGCAATTCTTTACCGAGTTCACTTACACAAGCAAGAATGTTGCCTCTAAACAACCAACGCACAGAATCGTTGAAAAAGTCTTGGTGGGCAGAATCCGAGACCTCCTTTCCAAGAATTCGTGCGCAGAGGCAACATACGAAATTGCCAGGTGTTCTTTTTTCCCGGAGATATGTTGTTATTTGCCTCTGAAAGCAGCCGGGAACGTCTCGATGCTAGGATCCTCAAATTGAATCGTACAGTGTTTTGTAATGACATCCGAACTCTTCCTCTTTGCCATTCGCAAATCTTGACTTTAATTGGTGCCGAGCATGCTGGGCACTCCGACAATGCACCAACCAAACCGGCCCTATGTTCACGGGAACGTTTTTTATTGAAAGAAGTTGGGCATGGTTGATGATATCTTCAGCCTCCTTAGTTTTTTGTATTAGGTGAACTATTAAGTTTAAACTTTTACTGATTTTTTTCGCCTGATCTTCCGGTATGGAAAGAGCACAATCCAAAAATCTGAGTAATCCTCTTCTCATTGAATTGGTTCGAGGAAGAAAATATTATTTTCTTCGTCACCTGCTATTTCATGTCCTCTGACAAGTCATCAATAAGTTGTCAAATTATTTGATCTGAACGTTTGTTCATATTGTCTGAGTATAAGATGAGCAACTTGCATCAAGAAAGGTTTGACGTGAATATATCCAAAGTATTTCCAAAGATCTTTTGTTTTACGATAAGAAGGGAAAACTTGTACGATGCCGTGGATTGATATTATAGTTGAATGAAAATAGCTTATATTTCTATTATAGCAGCTGTAGCATTTCATTGTTAACTACAGATGTCAGAGTAGACGAAAACTGACGTTGTATGCGCGCTTCTTTGACATCTGGCAAGCTAGGAGCAGCTTGCTGGCGAGTAAATCTTTAGATTCAAGCTGGCTAGATAACTATAATACACACAGTTGGACACTCCAAAACCCCATAAAGACACAAGACCTTTTTGGTGGTAATGACCCACAGTTTGGACTTTACTAGCTAATGGAAACGCCAATTGAACAGGCTCTTTCTTAGGGTACGGAAACGAAAAATTAATTTCGCACTTAGTTTAATTTTTCGTCGATATAAAAAAATAGAATTTACCAATCTAATCACCGTCCAATTTTTTCAAGCCAGTTCGCAAGCCTTTCTTCAGTGTCCTTTGCCCTTTCCTTTGCCCCCGCCTTTGCCTTTGCCAGGCGCAGGGAAAGGTTTAGGATCAGGATCAGCAATGGCGCCAGCCGCCATCATCATCACCACCAGGGCAATCAGGCTCAGGTTCTGCGAAAACAATTAAAAACATTGGAAACCAAAATTGTGTTTAATACACTCTAATAGATCTCGCTATTGGGTTTTTCTCGAAGCAGTTGATTTATTTTTGACTTTAGAATGTTTTATTTCAAATAAAATTATTGTACCAGAAGCATGAAGCAATGAAATGAATAATACATTTTAAACTATCCAAATGTTTTCAGTTTTTTATCAGACTTGCGAACGATTGCGTGGTCTTTTTATTGGTATCCTGATTTTATCTCAACATTTATCAACATATGAATCATAAGCAATGCTATAAACTTACAAAGATGGAAGCCATTGTATTGTAGTTATTCTAAGCGGTGTCGTTCGTGTAATGCCTGGTCTTTTCGTCGTACGCATTTTATAGTAAACTCCGCCACTCAAACGTCCTTCGAGGCAGCCGACTGGGGCAGCGCAATCCGGCGCTTCATATTGCGCCGGTCAAGTTTTCGAGTTTCACCGTGGTGCGAATGCGGGAATATTTCGCAATGCAACAGACTGATATTTTTGTTAGAGAAGCTGCACCAGTGAGTAGGACTATTAATCGAATAGAGTACACATGAAAACACCTTCTTTCATTTTATGATAGTTTAGCCTCACGTTCCTTATAAAGTTTATGAACCTGTTATGTTGATGCATTTCGATAAGTTCGAAAATTCCCTTATTTGGAAATAAGAAGAAATATTTTTAATAAATTTTTGGAAGTAGCATAATTAGATCTAGCCGTGAACTTCAAAGTCGATCATTGATGACTAAAACTGAAAGGCTATCGCTGCTATCAACTGGAAACAAAGGTGAAGCCAAGATCGAAAGCATTACGAATGCATTTTGACCTGTTTATTGAATATACATCTCATCGAATTACAAAAAAAAATTGATCAGTACTCACTGCAGTGAGTGACAGAAAGCGCATTTTCTCACGGACGTGAAGTCACGGACGGACGGACGGACGGAGAAAACGTGAATCACGGACGGACGGACGGACATTACGAGCACAATAGCGCCTTTTCAGCGCATTTTCTCATTTATGGAAAAATGCACTATATTGTGCTCGCCATGTCCGTCTGTCTGTCCGTCCGTCCGTGACCTCAAGTTTTCGTCGACGAGAAAATGCGCTCTCTGTCACTCACTGCATTGAGTACTGAGTTATATTTTTTCCCATATGTGAGAAAATGCGCTAAAAATGCAAGCGAGTCTGAGCAACAACAATACTACTATATAAACAACAGGAATGCTATCGCTTCATACTATCCATGAAGAAGTTGATTCGTTTGCACAATAATGCCAAATCTCCCATAGATATACAATAGCGCATGTAAATGTACCAGCTAGAGCTCTCCGATGTGAACGAAAATAATTGTTTTGCAACAATAAGTACAATTGCAAATTCAAATAAAGTTTTTCCTTTGATCAGGTCTTTTCCAGCGATAAAAAAACAGCAGCCAATTAAAGATCTCATTGGGTTCTCGATGTCGTTCAACCAAAAGCTCGTCAATATAGTGGAAGACTACAGAAAAAAATAATGTAGCTCAGTTTTCAACAACCATGCAGGTCTCAATAGATGATCGTTTCCCAAACAGGCAGAATTAGCTAAACGTTTCACTTCATTCCTATATCACAGTTCATCTCTAATATTTTTCATTTCTGCGACGTAAATTCCCTATCCTCAGCAGAAAATTTCACAGTCAATTTTAACTGCCCAATCAGTCTTATTTTCTGCATCCAAAACAAGAGAAGATCGGGAAAGTTTTGTGTTTTTATTCCTGTCATTTCTCGTTATTCCCCAAACGAGTTCTAGAGGACTCGTTAGGGTTTTAAAACTCGTTCTCTCTCTAACGAGTTCTAGAGAACTATGTATAACTATGCATAAACATGTAAATGAGTTCTAGAGAACTCGTTAGGGGATTTAGTTAAGAAACTAAAACAGAAGTTGTCTGCAAGGTTACTTAATCAGTAACTCGGGTAGAATTTCAGATATATTGACATTGAACGTACGTATTTAGTGATGTATCAATGTCACGTCTTCCAATGTATCATGGCGGTAGCTGGATTTATTACCACACGACCACCGCAGCCTCAAGACAATGCGTCCAAGTTCTGGGGCGCGTGGAGGCTGATGCAAGAGCGTCACGAAGAGCAGTATAAATGAGAAGCTTGCAGCCACCGAGACCATCATTCCAACGACGACTTCACAACGAAACTAAAACATGGCTTCATTCTTGGTGAGCAAGAAATATTCCAATTTATCTGCATTTTAGGGCGAATCCTTTTACGAATGACTGGTTTAGAGTTAATATTTTTACTTTGTTCTATAAGTAGAAAATTAAATACTAATGTTCCTATTATTAATAGAACAATTAATCTTTTGCTGGTTCATTAGTAACAAATATTCATTTTTTGAAAGAAAAAATCTTGTCGATGGTCATCTTAAGCCTTTTATTCTGACAATTGTAATGTATTTATGGCCGGATTGGATCCTAAGGATTGTGATCATCTCTAGATTGCAGGCTAGCTTGACGGGCCCAGTGAGAGAAAATGAGTGCTACATTCTCCACAAAAAAATAGAATAATATTTTTGATATTATTGATTTTAAAATAATCTAGTCGAATTAAATTACTCACGACTAGCAATAGAAAACTTATGAACAAATGTAATTTTTTTACACTTAAAATAATGTTTATATATTGCTATGTTGTCCACTTGCTTTGCAGAAACTGAGCGTGCTTGCCCTGGTGGTGATGATGCTGGTGACCGGCACCATCGCTGAACCCGAACCCGAGCCTTTCCCTGTGCCGGGTGGACACAAGCACTGGAAGAAAGGACACAAGAAGGGACACAAGAAGGGACATAAGAAGGGAAAGAAGAAGGGACACAAGAAGGGCCACAAGAAGTGGTAGAAATGTCATGAACGCCGTTTTACTTCTTCCGTACAAAATAAACTCGAACGAATTTATTGCTTTTCACCAGCCTGTTTGAAAGTTATTAAGAAAATCATTGAACATTGAAAGTTGTTCAAGTCCATGAAGACTCTGGACATTATTGAAAAATAAATTTGATAAAACACATTTTCATGCTGTGGGAAAGAATTTGCTTTAAGTAATCTGAAATATGAGTAGCCCAATTCATAAGATGTATCACATTTTTGGTTCGTTGGTATTTATCATGTTGAGAAAAGCAAAATGCTGATAAGTAATGCATGTTGCGCATCTTTATCGCTATAAATATCTAATCGAAGGTTAACACTCGTAATTCGATCAGATTGCAGTGAGACAAAAATTTTTGATCTCTATTTCAAAATTACAAAAGTATAATTCTAAATTAAGCAATAATAGGAGGATAAACATCATCATATAAATACTCGGAAAAGCGAAATTTCCTCCATGAATTTTGAATAGATGAATATTTCATTAAGGAGCAAACCCTTAATGTTGTTTCGGATTAGACTTCAGAGAATCAATTAACATAATCGCATATTTGACACGGCAATCGTAATACATATAATTTTCGCAGGGTTTATGGGTGCTTTTCAGATATTTCAGAACAGGTCTAGGACCTCTGGTAGAAGTATGTGTGCTATAGTATGAGTTGGTGGGAGATTTGGCATTATTGCGCAAACAAATCACCTGCTCTATGGATAGTTTCAGTGATAACAATTATGTTGCCTTTAAGAAGTTTTAAAGTTGCTCAGACTCGAGATAGGCGCTGGATGACGAAGTAAATATACTTTGTGCGTAAGTAGGCGTAGACTTCATAAAGCGAGATTTTTGCTGACTTTTATATTCATTAAACAGATCAAAATTGGTGATGGGAGAGGTATGCCTTCATAATATACGCGAGTTTTAATTATGATACAATTGAATGATGTCATTTTCACGTGCACCCTATTGTCACAATTTTCACCAGCCCGCTGACGCAATTTCTCTAACAAAAATATCAGCCTACAAGGCACGCATTGCAAAATATTCCCACATTCGCACCACGTCAAAACTAAAAAACTTGACCGAATGCGGCGGCAGTTCTAGTACGAAACGCTGGATTGCGTCACACTAGTCGGCACCCACGAAGGACATTAGAGTGCAGGAGTTTACTATAAAATGCGTACGACTACAAAACCAGGCATTACACGAACAACACCGCTTCGAGTAACTCCAATACAATGGCTTCCATCTTGGTGAGTTTTAAACATTATTTTTAATTAATATGTTGAAAAATGTTGAGATTAATTTAGAATTGCAATAAATCCTTCAGGGTGTCGTTTGCACGACCGATGAAGAGCTGAATAACATATGTTAATTCAATGAATTGTTTCATTCATGTTGTGTCTTGCTTCTAGTACAATTGATGTTGAAATCAAACCTAATTACATTACAATTAATAAAATGAGATATGATAACAATGAAACTCAGACCAATTAATGTGGACCAAAAGGAAATTTTGTTTTCTAATGATATTAATTTTTCCTTAGAACCTAAGCCTGATTGCCCTGGCGGTGATGATGATGGCGGCTGGCGCCATTGCTGATCCTGATCCTAAACCTTTCCCTGCGCCTGGCAAAGGCAAAGGCGGGGGCAAAGGAAAGGGCAAAGGACACTGAATAAAGAATGATGACCTTATATATTATAGTTAGCCTTTCTTGCAACACGATTTTATCAGATTTTGTGTCTGTCTTTCCTTCGAACGACTTTAATTAATAAACTTTGCAGGAAATTGCGTTTTTTCTCTCCTCTTGCGCGTCAATTGTATGAGAGCTTCAAATAAATATTCGCATGTCTTAAGAATCAAATCTTCGAGGAGATTTTGGGGGTAAATCCCAGGATGTGTGTTCGACCGACTGATTAGAAAGTCAAGTAATTTTTTCCGTTAGTTTTCCATGAAAACTGCTTCTTGCAACAACTAAATTATATTATAAATGTTCTGAATGGCAAATGCTTACGATGGTATGAGGACTATTGAGAATGAATCCAAAAAGAAGAAAAAAAAGTTGAAGCGGATGATGGGAAGAGATTAATAGAAATTTAATTATTGAAAATTTTGCATTTCAAACAATTAGAAACCTACAAAAATTGGTTGAGATATTCTAAACTGCATTTGTTGCTGCATAACGTGAAGCATTGAATGAAGTCATAACACGCAGTTTCAACCTTGATATCAATGCATATTTAGAGGATAAAAACTCTTGAGCAAAGGAACCACCATATAAACAAAACTTCAATCTAGCAAGACTAAATGAGCATATCAGTTCTTAGTTTAAGCTCACACTTCGGAATGAGTCACATACAGCATGGGATCTTAATATCCATAATTGAATTTGCATCAGAAATA